CAAATACTTCAAGTCTCTGTGCTTTGGAGACCGTATCTGGGCAGGCAGTGCATCATAATGTGGGGGGTGGGGAGCAGGAATGGAACCCCAAATGGAGGGGTTGTGCAACCAGGCTATTGCTGGCCAGTACAGGATGTCGGGTTCTTTGCTGTAGGGCTGCTGGGGGAGAGGGGGAAATAGAAAAGGCCTGTATGGACATCAGTGAGAGTCACAGGGGGCCAGGGACCTGCCAGGCCATGACAGGCTTTGAAATCTGCGGAGGCAGCCATGGCTGAGGCGCGGGAACATGCAGCATGGCAAGCTGGGGTGCCTGAGCTCAGCTGGGCCATCGCCTGTGGCGGAAATTGCCTACTGTGAGCCGCCTGGGCTCCAACGCCTGCCTCTGCCCCTACCCGATCTGGCCTCAACCACACAGGTTCTCCCTCCACACAGTGGGGGCGGGAGGGAGGGGGTTGGGGGTGGGACGGAGGCTGTGCAGGCTGGGTGTGCGGGTCTGTGGTGGGGGGGGGGGGATAAGGAGCCTGGATAACTGATTCCGCCCACTTAGGGCACTGAGACCCTCCCCACTCCTCCCCCAGGCTCTGTCTAAGTGTCGCTGACACACTCATGGGCTGATGGACCCTGAGCTGGGGCCACATCCACACTTCTCACCTTGGCCTGGCTCCAAAAATGTCATGTAACTGGGTAAGTCATCATCTTCAGTCTTTCAATTCTGTAAAATGAGAAGTGTTTCCTCTGTCCACGCCTTTGGCCCTGTCCTCTCCCCGGCTATTGCCCCAGACACAGCTGGCTGGTCACCAGAGCAGAACGGTGGAGCGGGATGGGCCGCCACGGCACAGGCCTGAAAGGAGGAGAGAGGGAGTGCTGCAACCCACGACCTCCCCACCGCCCGACGCAGCCCTCGAAACCCTGACTTACCATCACGGAATCCCTCCACGCTCGCCTCAGCCTGCGGCAGGTGACGCAGGGAAATTCTAGAAGGGAAGAGAGAACTCCCTTCTGTCTGCCCCAGCCCCCAGCTGCGTGGGCCTGCGGTCCCTGCTCTGCTCTCCTTGGCCTCACCCTCCAGGGGTGTCCCCCACTTACCTGTGGTTCAGCTACTGTTCACATACTACTGACCAAGGAGTCCCAGTCCCCCAAATTCAGTCCAGCTCTCCCCAGCCACACTGCTCACTGCCAGAGGCCCAGGGTCGGGCTGCAGGGTGGGATGGGAAGTGGACTCCCCCTAAAACTCGTGCGCGGTGCCCCGGCACTGTATGAGACCCTGCTGGCACCTCTCTCCTGGACAGCCTCCAACCAAGTGCCTACAGCACATCTCCAAAGGCACCACACACTCAGCCTGGGCCCACAAACGTGTCAGCTCTTTCCTCCCTTTTAACAATAGTACCATTCTCCCAGGGACTCGGCCCCCAAACCTCTGTCCCTCCACCCCTCTTCTCCCTCAATCCCATGTCCAGCTTCCTCCTAAGTCCCATCAGTCCTGCCCCAAGCTGTCTGCCTCTCCCCATCTTTTCTGCCCTGGATCATCTGTCTGGTTTTTAAACTACTAAACACGTACGGAACACTTATTATCCCCAGCCCCGTCTAAGTGCTTTACCAGTATGAACTCATGCCCTTTACGTTACAGATAAAGGAACCGAGGCACAGAGAAGCGAAGCATCTGGCTCAGGGCCAGGACTGGGGTCCCCCGGGCAGCCCGCTGCAAAGTCCGGGCTGTGAGCCTCTGTCCCGAGGACCATCACAAATCCCCACGCTCATACCTGCACCTTCAACCCCGCCCACATGTCACTCACAGGCTGGTCCTTCTTTCCTTCTTGTTTAAGAAAACACTTCGGTGGCAAAAACTACCCCTGTAGTGGGGTCTTTCTGAAGCATGACTTTGAACCTGTTACTCCTTGCTCAAAACACCTTGGAATTTCCCCTACTGCCCCACCTAGTGCAAACAGAATGAAGCCCACCCCCAGGCTAGGAATTCAAGGGTTCAAGGGCATGACACCAATGAGCGCCCCTGGGAACCCCTGGCTGCTCCCCTCAGGCACTCCTGCCTCGGCTGTCCTGTCTCGCCTGCTCCCACCCCAGCACAGCACAGAACAGACCTTTCCTCCTCAGAGAAAGCCTATGATGTCTGATTCCTCTCTGAGCCGCTTAAGTGTCTGCCACAGTGTGTCACACAAGGTAGGTGCAACTCACGTGGAAAATGAGCAACAGTGAAGCTGAGCTGCTGACGAGGGTGAAAAGGAGTTACTGCACCAGATGCCTGTGCTGAGCCCGTACGGTGGGCACCGTGCGGGGCGCCTCGCGTGCATCACCACCAACTCGAGTCACGCTCTGCAATCCCATGCTGCAGTTGGTGCTGTCAATGTGCCTCAGTTTATACTTGAGGAACCAGGGGCTCTGAGAGGGGAGCCAACTTGCCGAGAGGCATAGAGCTTGAAAGCAGAGAGGCTGGGATCGGAACCAGGGCTGCCGACTCCGAAATGAGCTCCGGACCACCCCGCCCTACTGCCTCCCGAGGCTGGAGGACAGTTGGACAAATATTCCAATCTCTGGGCAATGTCCGAAGATGACGTGATGGGGACCTATCAGTGACATCAAGGTATCAGAGTTGAATGTCTGAGAAACATAGCATTGGCAATGTCAAAATGTCCGAGGAACGGAAGGATTTTGCATAATGTTGTATTTTAGTCCTCCAAACATCTATCAAGCACCTGTTTCTATGTTAATGCATGTAGAGCAGTGGCAACCCCACACACACACCAAATACCTTCTCCTCTCATGTGGCCGAGGGGGTAGGGGGACACAGAGAGGGAAACCAAACAAAAACTGTATGTCAGAGGGGACAATTGCCATAGGAACAAGTGAAGTGGGGTTAAGAAAAAGGGACTGTCCTGTGAGCTGGTGGGAGTATGTTGGGGGCATCACCACTTGTAAAGGGCCAGGAAGCCTTCCCAATAAGGTGACAGGAAGTAAGTGAGGGAATGAGCCAGGCAACCATCTATACATATTCAGGCAGAGGCCACAGCAAGTGCCAAGGCCCTGAACTAAGGGACGGCGTGGCCTGGCCAAGGCACAGCCAAGACATTCGTGTGGCAGAAGCAGCATGAGTGGGGAGAGGAGCAGGCGGGATTCGCAAACACTGGGAATGGCGAGGCCTCTGTGAAGTCAGGCTCTGTGTGAGAGTAACACCACACATCTGGGTAACGGTGGTGGCTAGAACTTAGTGAGTGTATCCCACATGCCTCCTATTCAGTACTGCTGGCACAAACCCTGCTACAGACAGGCGTCCTTAGATCTAATGGGGAGACAGGTAAGGAAACCCCACAGCGCTAGGTCAGGGTGAAACTACAGAAAAGAAGCATCTAACCTGGGCTAGGGGCCCAGGAGGCTTCCTGGAGGAGATGGCACTTGATCCGTGAAACAGGAGAAGGAAAACATTCCAAAACACAGGTGCAGAGAGCAGGGCGGGGGGGGGGGGGGCGGAGAGGCAGGCCTGAGCCTGGGACAGCAGGCAGAGCTCAAGTAGCCGTGCACAGGGGTGAGGGTGGAGGGGGGCACAGGGGCAGCTTGTGGGGGAAGAGCTCCAGGAGCAGGGCTGGGAGCAGCAGAGAGGGGGCAGGAAGGGGGACAGGTTTATGGGGGCTGAGAAAGCCTCCGGACTGGGTGGCCCTGGCCCAGGCTGAAGTGTGTGTGAGGGAAAAGCTGGGGGTTCCAGAGTCGGGGACGAAGGGTGAGCAGAAGTGGAATAAGGCCTTCAGCAGTCTTCCTGCCTCCCTAGGGCCCTGCGCTCTTACAGGTCATCGGGTGCGGTCTAGCTGGTTGCTGACCGGGAGGCAGAAAGTATGGGGCCGCCCCGACCTGCACCAGGTCTTGGTTTCTCAGCCTGTCCTGTGAGGTTCATATTCTCCTTTCAGGCAGCTGAGTCTTCACACAGAGGCAGCGCAGGACACTCCGGTAGGGGCATAACCTGTGTGTCCACTGCCGTCGCCTGAGTGTCTGACCGTCAGTCTAGGATAGACAGAGCTCCACTGTCACCTTCCTTTCTGCCGGTGACGCTGCAGCTCAGCCAAAGTCACAGGACAAGGGGGTGACTAAAATGGGACTCGAGCCCAGCTTGTGAGACTGCAAGCCCCAGGCAGCACTGCGGCAGCTGCGGGGAGCTGGGAGCCAGGCCTGGTGACAACCACGGCCCAGGGATAAGCCTGGGAAAGGGATGGGGCAGGCTGCGGGACGGGGAAGGCGGGACAGGTGATGGACCCTGAGAGTGGAGGCAGGAAGAGAGCAGCACAGGGTGTTGGAGAGGCTTCGAGAGAGAACTACAGGTGCCCCCAGAAAGACCTGGTAAAAATGTCCCAGTGAGGGTGTAAAAAACAGAAGCTACATCTTCCCACACAATGTGTCTGTGACAAGGCAGTGATGAGGGGCCTCTTGTTCCCATTTCACAGGTGAGAACATGGAGGCAAGGAGAGGTGCCCACCTGGCACGCCCAAAAGCCCATAGGAATTTAGCACCCAGCAGCTCCGTTAGAAGGCAGGTAGGGTAGACGGTCGGAGACTTTCCCTGATCTACGTGGATGATGAAATAGAGACGATGAGAGGGGCCATCGATGGAGGTGAAAGCAGAATTGGGGCTGCATCCAAAGAGGGAGGGAACAGAGGCAGAGACACGGAGAGAGCCAGTCGGCGGCAGAGATGGTGGAGAGATGAGGCCGGACACCCAGCTCCAGTTACGTGCAGGCGGCATCAGCGGGCCCTGGTGTCACGGAGTCCCCGCACCCTCTCCCGCCCTGAGCGGGCCCATCCACTGGGGCTGCTCCCCAGCGCGCGCTCCGGGTCCCGCGGGGGAGGGCAGAGGGAAGAGGGGGCTGGAGGAGAGACGGTGCTCTGCCTCCTCCCCTCGGCTCGGCTGGCGTATCCGCAGAGGCCTCCGCCGCAGCCTCCCGGTCCGCACCGCCCCCCCCCCCTCCCCAGCCTTGTCCCCTCCTCTCCCCGCGCCCGGATGGTACGTTCCGGTCCGCCTGGCCCGGCTGCAGTGGATGTTGCTAGAACCCACGCGGAGGAAGGAAGAGACGCAGGCAGGCTGCGGTGACCCAAGCGTCTGCTCCTGCCTCAGGGACCCCTTCCCCGAGAGACGGCACCATGACCCAGGGAAAGGTACCGGCATCTCCCCTGCCTGCACCATCCTCCATCCTCGGGCTTCCCGGGTCCCCGCCATCCTAAGCAAACTCTCTGGACCACTATAAGCATCCTCTCCTGGCTCTTGTGCAGAGGTCCTCTGTGGCCCTTGCTGAAGTCAGAGGACCAAAAGGCCCATTTCAAGGAATGGGTCAGGGCCTCCTGCCCACCGGGCTCACCTCTCCTTCCCTGTCTCCCTCTCACCCCTTGCTTTGACATCACAGAACCCTGCACAGACACCAGCCCCCCTTGAGGAGTCAGCTGGGGTGTCCGTGTGTCAGTGCGTGTCCGTGCGTGCTCACCAGGGTGAGCCCTGAGGGGTCGTCCCTGTCCAGCATCCCCTCCTGGGCCAGTTCCCACCCAAACATGAGCTCATCCTTCGTGCCCTCCACAGAATCACCCCCCCACCCAACTCCCTATCCTTATCCCACATCTGGATACAACCTGCTACATCCTCTGTGGTTGGGGGTTGCTATGGCAACCATGCATAAGGATGCTCTAATTTTTGTTTTGGTTTAGGCAGGGCATGGGACTAGATGGACCCAGATAAAATGGCTTCTCTTTTTTTCCAGTTCTAGACCTAAAATGCTGGGGCAAGACTTGGCTGGCCTAGCAGGGTTATGTAACACAACAGCCTGTGGAATTATACAACAGCCAGGCCTGGGGCAAAGGAGGGGGTTCTCTGGCCTTCTGTTTGGGGGTGCTAAGGACTGAGCTGAGAACACAGACGGGAACTTCCCTTACACGCCCCCTCTTTTTTCTGAGATGTACCTCAGAGCCAATGGCAGCCTTCCCTGGGCTCCCAGACCCTCCTGTCCCTGTTCTTAAGCTCAGCAGGCCTCAGAATGATGTCATGGGGGATACCAGCCCCACTTGGGAATGCAATGTGTGTATGGGGAGTAAGGCCCCGGACCCCTCGGTGCCGCAGTGCCAGGGTGGGGCTGGTGAAGAAGACCAGCTTGGCTGACGGCAGAGGTGACCATCCTTTTCCCAGGCAGGAGCCCTGGGTCTGGGCACAGGACCTTGGTTCTGGAATGACCTTGGTTCTGGGTTTTTCTGGGCATGACCCCGCTGGTCTGGGTGATCATGGAGGTTAGAGAGTGGGAGGGAAGCAGATGAGCCAGGGCTCCATTCCCACGGGCCTACGCTTGGAGGCCCTTCCCCAAGGAGGTTGGCGGGTATGCACGGGGTGAAAATGAAAGCTCCCCTCTCTCCTTTTCCTCCCCCTCCACTCCCCGCCCCTCCCTCCACCCAGCACCTGGCTGGCCCTGCTTCCAGTCCTGGGCCGAATGCATCACCTTGCCTCCTCTGTCACTCGCCCCCAGCTCACTCACAGGCTTCCCAGTGATGCAGTCGGCCCTCCAGTGGTCCTCGGGGCTGAGTGAGGGCAGAGGTCTGCTGCCTGCCCGACTCCGGGCGGCCTCAGCTAGACACACCCTGCAGCCCTCCTTAGTAGCCCTTCAGGTTTAACACATTTTTTAAAAAGATTTTATTTAGTTATTTTTAGAGAGAAGGGAAAGAAGGGAGAAAGAGAGGGAGGGAAACATCAATGTGTGGTTACTTCCCATGTGCCCCCCACAGAGGACCTGGCCCACAATCCAGGTATGTGGCCCCACTGGGAATCGAACCTGTGACCCTTTGGTTCACAGGCCAGCATGCGATCCACTGAGCCACTCCAGCCAGGGCGTTTAACGCATTCTTTTTTGGAGGCAGACCTAAAGCCTGTTTTTTTTTGAGGTTCAGTTCTTTTGAACTGTTTCAGTTTTCATACCACCCCTCCACCCCAATCTGCCCTTCCCTGGCAACGCCATTCAGGCCCTCACAGCTCACGGGCTCCCTCCAAACCTAGATGTGTACCCTGTGGGGCAGGAGACCCATCTGAGTGCACATGGACTTGCGTTTTCAACCTGCCACCGGTGCGTTTCCCTCTGGGCCTCAGCTGCCTCGTCTGTAAAGTGAAGGAAGGGGCTGAATTGGATGGTTCTGAGACCCCTTTCAGCAGTGACATCCTGTGATCCTGCTCCGGTTTGGGGGAGAGGCTGAGAGTCCAATAGGACGGGGCCAGGGCAGGACCCTCAGCTGGGGCTCTGTCCTTCCTCCACCCTGCAACCCCCATTCCTCCCCTCCTTTCCCCCTTCCCGCCACCCCCGCCCGGCCTTCTATTTCCCTGCTCTCTCATCCCCACGTTCCTCGGTCCTCTCCAGCCCAGCAGGAGGAGGCGGTGCCAGGGGACGGTGCTCCCTGGGCTTTGCAGCCCGGTGGGCCACGCGTGCCTCTGTGACCTTAGACGGGTCAATCTTCTCTCTGTTCCTCAGGTCCCTCATTTTAAAACAGAGGTGAAAATACAATTTGTAAGGTAGCAAGCAGGGGGTTTACATGAGAGAACCTTTTGTTCAATACTTTTGAGAGCCTACTGTGTGCTAGGCCTCTCCTTGGACCCCAGAGAAACAATGGGCCCATACAAACCCAGTCCCAGCCCCAGGAACGGTGACCACGGACGGGGGCTCTCTTAGGAACGTTCTCCTTTCTCAGTTCTTATCCCAGCTCCAGAGTGTGCCCGGCCAGCCCTGGCGCCCCTGGAGCTCAGTTCTCCCATCTATGAAATGGGGAGAGTCCCCCCAGCTTTATTGGGGGTATAAGAGACAAATAGATATTGTGTATATCTAAGGCATACAACTTGATGTTTTGTCTAACACGCACACTGTGAAACGACCACCCCAGTAAGCTGTTTAGCACATCCGTCCCCCAATATGGTTCCCTCTTTTTGTGTGGCGGGCACACTCGGACCTCTCGGCAGGTGAACGTGCACCACACAGCACTGTCAGCCGCGGTCGCCGTGCTGGACACTAGGTCCCCAGAACTTTTCCGTCTTGTGTAATTGAAACCTCGTGCCCTCTGACCAACATCTCCCGATTTTCTGCATCTTCCAGCCCGTGGCAACCAGTGTTCTCTCTGTGCTTCTGTAACCTTGACCTTTTCAGAGCCCACACAAGTGAGGTCATGCTGTTTCTATCCTTCTGCGTCTGGCTTAATTCACTTAGCACAATGTCTTCCCAGTTCACCCAAGTTGTCACATACGGAAGGATTTCCTTCTCTTTTAGGACTGAATAATATTTCATATATATACGTGTACGTGTATACACACACACACACACACACACACACACATATCACCAAAAAGGAAGATTCTTGTTTATACCCCCACTCTTGCTGTTGCAGATGAGAAAGTACCCATAAAACTTCCAAAATTGAAGGGGAGGTTTGCTCAGGGGGCCTTGGAAGGCATCCTTTCCCTGCTAACCACTTCTCTCTGCCTCTGCTGCACAGGTCTCCGTGGCTAACAAGGCCCCCAGCACCGAGGGGCAGCAGCAGGCCAATGGCGAGAAGAAGGAGGCTCCAGCAGTGCCCTCGGCTCCGCCCTCCTATGAAGAGGCCACTTCCGGGGAGGGGCTGAAGGCAGGGGCCTTCCCTGCCGCCCCTCCAGCTGTGCCTCTCCACCCCAGCTGGGCCTACGTGGACCCTAGTAAGTCTCTCAGCTGCTGGAGGCTGGAGTCTCAGGCAGAGTGGTGGGCTCACATGGAAAAGCAGGGGAAGAGGGGGCTGCCCAGAAATAGATGCACTGCATGGTTGTCGTATGAGGCTCTGTGGTCAAACTTGGCATTCGTAGGACTGTTCTGAGGGTGGACCCAGGAGGACACCGCGAAAAGGGAGACACGCGATGTCTGCCGTCAGAGCGCTCTTGGGTGGAGACAAGGGGATTTTTCAGTTCACCATGCAGGGAGAAAAACCAGGGGCAGGTCTAGCAAGAAGGGGCAGGCTGACGCTGCAGCAGGCCTCGGCCTTAGCGGGGGCTGGCTGCCGGTGAGTTGGGGTATAACACATGTCCTTGTTGGCTGATGTGAAACCTCAGGGGGGACACATCACCATGGAGACCCCGGGAGTGTTGGGGGCCAGAGGCCTGAGGATCCACTTCACCCATCACTCTCCTTTCCCTCCTCTGTTCCCCGGGCCATTGCTGGGGCATGGTGTGCGCAGGTGTGTGGGCGCCGGCCTTGGCGTCCCTCACAACCAGGTGGAATTCACAGGCAGACTCCCCCACACTCGTGCCAATACCTTGCAGACCAAGCGTTGTAGCCAGTGGGAGCCCCTGTGTCAAGCTGAGCAGCTGTGGGAGCTTCGCCTCAGGGCTGGGATCACGGAGGCCCCCACAGGCCGTAGGGAAGGGCCCCTCTCAATTCTCCCTTGGCCCCTTTGGCCTCCTCAGCAGCCCCTCAGTCCTCCTCCCTCACCTTGTCAACCCCCCACCCAGCAGGATTCTGGAAGGGATCCCAGGGACAGTGCCTCAGGCAGCCTCTGTTCCCAGTGAGTGGTCACCATGGTCCACACTGCCCACCACAACCCCCAGACCTCAGCAGAGCTACTTCACCACGACCAGCCACACGGCCAGGGACTGTCTGGTGTTTGTGGGAGCCTTCTCGCTGCTCACACGCCCACCGCACTGCCGTCTCTCTTTCTCTCTCCCCCTCTGTGGCCCGGCTATTTGGGCCTTGGTGGGGGGGTGCAGGGAAAGCTCGAAGGAGAAGTGAAGACTGAGAAAGCGAGGGTCTCCAGGCCCCAGGTTTGCCATAGGTCCACCTCTCTCCCCCTTCCTCAGTCCCCGTATCCCAGTTGCTAGGACGGGCTGCCTTTGAGGAAGTTTTCCACGGAATCGTCAGGGCAGGAAGGCAGGGCAGGAAGGCAGGCCACTGCGGTCAACATGTGACAAACATTTGCTTAATGTTTACCAGGCGCTATGAGCGACACTGAGCTAATTTCCAGGGATGCATCAATTTTCCCTCACAGAGCTGACTGTATAGACAAGTGAATGGACAACTACCATACAGTGAATCAGAGGCGGTGATAGTGGCCTGGGCAACTCACCTACAATCAGGCAACTGCTTGACAATCAGGGAAGACTTCCTGGAGGAAGGGCTGTCTGCTTTGAGTCCTGAAGGATGGCATGAGTTATCCTGGTAAAGAGGCAGGGAAATGAGTTTTCAGGGCTGAAAGAATGGAACGTGCAGAGGCCCAGTAGCAGGAGAACACGTGGCTGATAAAACAGTCAGGCTGAAGAAAAGCAGGAGGAAATAATGTGCAGAGAGGCTGGAGGGCTCATGGGGACTTGAACTTGAATAAGAAGCAGTGGGGAGCCATCGAAGAGTTTGAAGCAGAGCAGTCATGGTCAGCTTTGAAAGACCAAGACTGAGGCTAGTGGAGTGGGTGGAAGGGACATGGCGATCTGACGGGGGCACTGCAGGAGAACAGGATGGACGCGTGCGAGGCCTCAGGAATGGCCCAGACGAGGGGTGCAAGGAGAGGGCAGCACGGTCCCCATCAGAGTCAGAGAGGCATAGACTTGCGCGTTTATCTCGTTTCATCCCCATGAGGCGAGTATCACCGACCCATTTCACAGACGGGACTTGGAGGAGGCTGGTGATTTGCTCAAGGTCACACGGCTGGTTAGTCTTAGAGGAGGAGCTTTGTGTGGGCCTATTTGGCTGTGGAGCCTGAGCTCTTCCAAAAGCCCGAGTTTTGGACCAGCCTGCAAAACTGCGTCCCCACCCACAGTCCCCTTCCTGCCCTGTGCTCGCTTTATTTCCCCTCCAGTCTTCCCCCAGCCCTGGATCCCAGCTGTATCACCGGCAGGTTCGCCCAACCGACTAGTCCCCAATTTCTACCCCAAGGGCCTCAGAGCAAGCTGGGTCATCTGGACCTCTGACCCTGGGAGGTGCCAGAAAGTCCTGGGACTGTGTCTATTTCTCTGATTCTTTGCCACAAGGGAGCTGGAATGTCCAGGGAGGTGATGGGGGACACCAGAGGGAAGGGTCCCATTTGTATGGCACAGTTTTGTCCCAAGGGAGCCCCAGCCAGGGTGGAGGGAAGGGGAAAGAGGATGACAGTTCATTCCCAGGACTCAGGACAGCACAGACAGAAGCAACAGGGGAGAGAGATCTGGACCTGGAGGGGGAGGTCTGAGAGTGGGCTGTGGAGAAAGGCTCCAGCCGGCTGGCCCAGAGAGCCAGTTAGCCAGTTCTACAAAAGACAGCCCTGAGCAGGCGGCCGCTGGGCGCAGTATTTGCAGGCGTTGGAGCCCTCACGGCTCTCCTTCCCTCCTTGGCCCACCAGGCAGCAGCTCCAGCTATGACAGCGGTTTCCCCGCCGGAGACCATGAGCTCTTCACCACCTTCAGCTGGGAGGACCAGAAAGTTCGCCGAGTCTTCATCAGAAAGGTAACTGCCTCTCCCCAACTCTCCAGGATGGGGCTGGGTGTGGAGAACCCTTTGAAAAGGCCCTGGCCCAGCCCTCAGCCTGCAGAGGCCCGGTCCCCCTTCTCCTGCGATGCCAGCTGACAGCACCCGTTTGGTAGTGCCTCCGTAGGCCTCACCCCACTGAGCCCCGCTACTCCTAAGCACATCATCTCTTCTCTCCAGATACCGGGGGTCCCTTCGCCTGTGGGCATGGGCTCTAGAACATCTCAGCTCCTTCCAATGACCCTGAAGAAGGAGGGTAGGGGGCATGGGGTGCAGGTCTGTACAGTAGGTTGAGTCACAGGGGCCTTTCTGAGCCTTGCTGGGGACTTGAGCCTCTCCCGGGCTTCAAACAAGGTTCCCCGGGCTGAGCAGAAGCCCCTCCTACCCCCAGGTCTACACCATCCTGCTGATCCAGCTGCTGGTGACCCTGGGTATCGTGGCTCTCTTTACCTTCTGGTGAGTTGGCGCTGTAGACCAGCACTTTTAGCGGGTGGAGTGGCCAGGCCTGGGGCGGGCAGACCGAGCCAGACTTCCCTCAGCATGCTTGCTGGAGAGACTTGTGTGGGCAGTGCAGCCCCTTGTACCGGGGCGGGAGGGGGGGCGCGCCTTAGGCAGTGCCCACGCAGGAGCCCCCCCATCCAGGGGTGGGGTGCACCTGGTGCCGCTGGGTCTCTCTCAGATCCTTGGGCTCCACACTCAGGCCCTTCTGAGTCCCAGCCTGGGCCTGTGGCTGGGGCTTCCCAAGCTACCAGGGGTACATGCCTCCTTTCTCTAAAGCCCTCTGTCAGCTGAGGCAGGGGAGGCAGTGGTGGGCAGGTGCAGATTTGAACTAGAACTAGAGAACCTAGAGACCAAGGGTAAATTCTTGTTCTTTCTCCCTCCCTCCTCTGCAGTGACCCTGTTAAGGACTATGTCCAGGCTAACCCAGGCTGGTACTGGGCATCTTAGTGAGTATACCCCAGCCCCCAGACCCCCATGACCCTCCCCAGAGAACCCTCAGTGCACACAGTAGGAAACCCCTGTGGACAGAATGCAAGCCCATGGCCTCTTCCCACCTCAACAGGAACCGTTCTCACAAGTGTGAGGCCAGAAGGGCCCTTCTGGGGGGGGGTTAGGTCTTACGGGGAGGGAAGGAGATGGGCACAGGTTTTAGTACCTGCACTAGGAGGTAAGGGTGGGGCTGGGGCCAGGCCTAAGGAGACTCAGACCTTGGCCCTGAAGGAAAGGGGGAGGGGACACCTTGGCCCACACTAATAATAATGTTGCCACTCTTTTTAACATTGTTGTTATTAATGCTTACTAACAGAATTATTAATTATCAATGTTACCACTTACAGAGTGCCTAATAAGGTCTGGGAATTGTTCTGGGCAATGAATTCAATGTATGGTACTGAATTTATTCTTCAAATCTACGAGGTATGATTACCTCAGAAAACTAAGGCCCAGAGAGGTTGAGTAATCTGCCCAAGGTCACACAGCTAATGGTGGAGCTGGGATTCAAACCCAGAATTCAGGTTGAGGCTTGTGCTCTTAATCCCTCTGCCTGGAAGACTCCCTTTCTCTCTCGCCACACTCAGTTCCCAGTTGTTCTATACTCTCTAAGGAATGTGGCAGGTAACTTGAGAGAAGTTGGATGGTGTAGGTGATTCTGACCCTCTTATCTGGGCAGCGAAGGGGTCATCTGGACAGCTCTGCTCTCAGCAGACTCCCTCAGCACCTGCCGAGCCCAGCTCTGTGCTGGGACGGCTGGGGAAGGGTGGTCTGCGGGGGGAGGTAGCGGGCGGCACAAGGCAGCCTGAGAGAAAGCGGCACGTTCAGAAGGAGGCCGGGGCTAGGGAAGATATGAGCTTGGTGCACCGAGCCCTCAGTCCACATCAGGGGTGCGTCTCAAAGGTTGGACGTCAAAGCAACAGTGTGGCAGTGGGACTGCTTTGGTGAGTCAGGGACTAGATTGTCAGAGGGCCAGGAGGCTCCATGCAGGGGAACCCAGGATGTCTCAGAGGGCAGCGGGGACTGGTCGGGTAGAGGCTCTGAATGCCTGGCCTAGGAGCTAGCACAGTAGGGCTGTCCCAGGCCCGTTCCTGAAAAGGGATCAGGTGGCGACGTGGGCTCAGCTCAGAGCCTACGGGACCACCCTGAATCCAGAACAGCGCCAGAGTGGCCGTGAGTTTATACAAGCAGCTGAGGCTGCTGGGAAGGAGACTCCTCTGGCCTCTGGGGCTCCTTGGAGCGGAGGAGTGAAGGGAAGTCTCGGTGAATATGGGGGTCCCAGGGGAGCAGACATTGCCTCCAGAGCCTTTCCTAGGGCATGGGAGGGAGGGCCTGTCTGCAGACCAGGCAGGAGGCGTGCGTCTTAGGGACCTGGGAGGCACTGTGTGGTAAAGCTAATGAGGCCCGAGGGACTGCCACACAGGCCAGCTCACGGGGCGGGTTGGCATGGCTCCCAGCACGTCAGCATGGCCCGGCAGCCTCAGGTGTCCCAGGAACTCGGCAGTGGAGACACCAGGCCTTTTGCCAGACCTTCTGTGGGAGGGTCTGTGAGACCCTGTGCCCTGAGCAGATGGGAGCAGGGGGTCAGCCCAGACATGAGCAGGCTTGGAAGTTGGGGCAGAGTCCACCCCGCTAAGGGTGGGCATCTGAATCTGGGCCCCGGAGTGCTGAGTTTTATCAGTGCTGCTCCTCAGCCTCTCAAGGCAGAAAACAGAGGCGCTGCCCTGTTTGAATCAAACTTCTTCTCTCAAGAAGAAGGGCAGAGAGAAGTAGAAAGTGGGCGTGGACCATGTGCTCTCTGTGGGGTGTCACAAAGCCTTCAAGATGCTCAAGAATTCCACCATCCTTTTCTCCAGAAAAGCAGCCAGTGGCTCTGCCCTGCACTGCCAGGGCAGAGCCACCCTCACCTCTCAACACCATTCGCCCTGCGCCCCAAATCCACCTCCTGGGCCGAGACCTATCAGTCTCGCCCCCTCCGACGTACTAAGCACTTAACAGCAATAAGAGTAAAACAGCTCTTTTTGAAACATGTCAGGCACTGTTCTATTTTTCATTCGATCTTATGCCAACCCTACCAAGGCAGATAGTATTATCATCTGCATTTTACAGGTGAGGAAATTGAGGCTCAGAGGAAAGTTATTGCTTCTGAAGCAGCGTAACCACGTCTTTCTGGTGGTGACGCTCCTGCACTTGCGCTCCGAGCTCTGGGCTGCAGGGCTGCCCCAGAGCAGGACCTGGGAGGGGAGGACCCTGGTTTTAGACACTGGCCCCCACCCCACCCCGCCCCTGCAGCCTCACTCCTCTGCCCTGACACTCTGTAAACAGACGGTGGCTCCAGTCCAGGCCCTGGGGCCCAGGCCCTGACACACAAGCCGGCCTTTCTCTCCCTGCTGCTGTGATTCATTGTCTGCCCCGTGGGATAGCAGCCTTCTAGCACCCCCTGCACCCCCCCCACACAGCTTTCTCCAGGCCCGAGTCATCTCCCTCAGTGAGCTCCAGCCTTATTGTCTGATTGCTCCCTCTGAGCCCTGTAGCAGGAAAAAGTGAGGGCTGTGGGGATGGGGGTGGGGTGTGGAACCAGGCAGAGGTAGAGACCAGAGCACGGGGGTGGGGGGGGGTGGGAGGTGCTGCTCACAGACTCTCCAGGAAGCTGTCAATCTTAGTACAGTAATAACAACTCCCACCCTCAAGTCCTTACCGGTGCCAGGCCCAGGGCTAACTGCTTGATGCGTGTTCTCTCATTCCACCCTCCCCGCAGCCCAGTGAGTTGGTACTAATGTTCTTGTTTCCAGAGGAAGGAACTGGGGCTGTGCAATTAAGTAACTTGTTCAAGGTCACATGATAGCAGTGGCAGAGCTGGGAGCTGGGTGTGGGTGTCAGGCCCCAGGGCCCCTCCGGAACCCCCACATCAGTCCTGCCCTCCTTTCTGGCCGCTTGTCTTGGGGCTTGAGGGGCTACAGACCAGAGAGGAAAGGAGACGAGGCCCTTGGCTTTGGGAGGCTTCCATCGGGTCGGGGGCAGGACCCGCACCCAGGATACACACAGACAAGGCGTTCTCATCGTTGCTGAAGCAACTAAGGACTGGAGCGAGCCCGAAAGGCAGCGGGCGCCGGGCGGTTCTCCACTAGGGCAGGAGATTCTGTGTCTTTCGTGGATCAGCATGTTCAGCAGCCCTGGCCCTGGCCCTGGCGCTGGCCCTGGGAGTGCCCGTCATGGTGACAGCAGTCCCACAGCATGTGGGAGCCACTGCAGAGCGGGAAAGGGTGCAGACGGAGGGCCCTGGTCACCAAGTCCAGTGGGCTTGTCTCAGCCCAACACTCCCTGTCCTTCTGCAGTTCATCCAGAAACACTTAAAGATCACCCGCCCAGTGCCAGGCCCCGGTTAGAAGGTAGGAACACAAAATGAGTAAGTCACAGACTGTGCCCCCAGTTTCTTCTGACCTTGGGGTCAGACGAGCAGGCCCGTGGGACCGGGGAGTGCAGGCTCCAGCCGAGCTGCGCCCGAGGCGTGCACGGAGGAGGCCCCTCCAACCCAGACCTCAGGTGTCCTTGCGGTGGGTCCTTCCAGCAGGAGCAGAGAGGGAGGTGCAGAGGGTGGTGAGAGGGAAGCGGGGAGGGGTGGAGTGTGCTGAGGGGTGGGTCACGAGGGGCATTGCCCAGTCTTTGGGAATTTTAAACGGGGGAGTCTCCTGGTCAGATCCGCCAAGTAGCTTGGAGGGTCAGAGGCAGGCCGGAGGCGGGAGGACCACAGGGAGAGAGGCGGCCCACCAAAGACCTCGGTGGGAGGACCGACAGGAGCGGTTGATTAATCAGGCATGGCAGTGAGAGCCAAGGGTGATGCCGAGGGCTCCGGCTGGGTCACATGGAGGGTGCCTGTCCTCTGCAATGGGGATGCAGGAGGAGAGCGGGGAAGAGGGCGAGTTTGGGTCTAACCTGTTGACTTTCGCATGTTTCTGAATAGCCATGTCTGCCCAGTGAACAATCGGATATTCAGGTCTTGAGAAGGAAAACCCAGATCAGAAGTGTAGGTGTGTGTGCTGAGCACCGGCCTCATAGAGGAAGTGCTGCGCATGAGTGAGCCTACCCAGCAGGACCGCGAGGGGAGACTCTCCCACAGCACCCTCTGCCTGGAAGGAAGGGGGCTTATTTAGAGACACCCTGAGGGAGGTTGAGGAGTGTCCAGGGAGGCCAGAGGGAGGCCAAGAGTGTGTCACTGCAGAACCAGGGAATGACGACGAAGGGAGCACAGGTTGCAGAAAGTCAGGTCAGGTAGTCTGGCCAGTGTCCAAGGTCACGGTGACTCGGGGAAGCCAGTTCTCAGTGAAGCTGGGGTTGGGTTTGTTGGGGTGGAGCCATGTGGGGAAGTGAGGGAGCCCGGGAGGTTTGGGAATGGGGGAGGGCGAGGGGGATTGCTGCTGTGGGGGGTGAGCGAGAGAATGAGGAGGGAGGCGGGGAGGGCCGCAGGCGCCACCTTGCGAGCCTTCTTGGTGCTGGAGACCGTGCGCTGGTGGCAGCACCAATCTCAGTAGGTGTGAGCCTGCCCTACCCCCTACCTGTGGGTCCTCAGCCCTCGTCTCCTACCTTCTGGACTGGCCTCCACCTCCAATGGTCTCCAGAAAATCCTCAATTCTCAGTCCCCATCTCTGGGCTGTGCCTGAGCTCCCACCCGTCGCCCGCTGGACACAGCCGCCTGTTCCAGAAACCTGTGCCACAGAGACTTCCTGTTTGTGCCCGGCACCGGCGGGACAGGACGGGCCCTGCCGCTGCCCCTGCCCCTGCCAGCAGGGTAGACCAACAATAAAGTAACTGACAAGATCTCTGCAGGCAGTGCTAGGGCTGGGAAGGGCCTGAAGGAGGCAGTGTGGGGCTGGGACTCCGGAGCCACCCTGCCTTTGCTGCATAGTAGCTGCCTGACCTTGGACGGGTCACCTGACCTCACCGTACCTCAGCTGTTAAGTGAAAAACATGCCTCGTAGAGACGATGTGAGGATCGTAGTAGTTAATATCCACAAAGCACTGAGCACTCTGCCCGGCACGTAGGAAACAGTGCATATGAGCCTTTCCTCGGAAGCAATAAATGTCCAGGGAGGCCACTTTGGGTTGACTGGGGTGTTAGTCAGCTGGCCCATGTCACCCAAACGTTTCTAGAAGCAGGCTCATCCCATTCCCCTTCTTCTCCTTTAGAATTAGACCACTGCCCTGCCCAGATGACTAGCTTTACCCCGATCCCCATCACCCTATCTGGGGCCCCAGGGGGTGGGGGGGGGAGCGGGAGGAGCAGGGGCCTGGCTGACTCACCATTCATCTGTCGCTTGCAGCGCTGTGTTCTTTGCGACCTACCTGATCCTGGCCTGCTGTACTGGACCCAGGTATGATGATGGCTTGAGGGGCGACTTGTGGGAACATGAGCCAGATCCTGGACACACTGGTCCCAGTGCTGCCCACCACCAGCGTGCTGTGCACCCCTCAGAGGGCCCCATCCCTCTCTGGGCTGTCATGTAGGCCTGCCCCATCGTCCTTTACTTAATACCTCTGAGGTAGGAGGAGGGTGGACAGACAGCTGGGAGCACATGGAAATGTAGCTGAAGAAGGAGCCTCCAAGAAGTGGGGGTGGGGTGGGCGGAGACCCCCATCCATGCAGGGTGACCCGGCCTGTGGCTGCTGGTGCCCTCACACTCCTCTGAACTCGGTCGGTGGCTTGCCTTTCAGGAGGCATTTTCCCTGGAACCTGATTCTCCTGACCGTCTTTGTAAGTGGTCCGGGGTGGCCGGGGAGGGAGGCTGAGTGGGGGCCCAGGGAGGAGGGTGGGTTTCAAGGGCCAGGGAGTCTAGGTTGGGGATGTCTAATGTGAAGTCACTGGGGGCGAGGGCGGCTCCTTCCACAAAGACGTTCTGCCCTCTTTCCAAGTGGGCTTAGTCTCCCTGCAGCTCCCCACACCCACTGTCCCTTTGCTGTGATTTTGTTTCCCAGAGGTTTGCGTGAGGGAGCCCATGGCTGCGGGTCCTGGTGAGCGGGAGGCTGGGGAAGGGGAGCGGAGCAGGGCCGCAGCCGTGCGAGGCCGGCCGGGCGCTTCTTCGCCGGCCCGACTCCCAGAAGGAACCGTGAGAGGGAGGCAGACGCAGACTTGAGGGGTCTGCGCCCTGGTGGAGACCCAGGCCGGACCTTGAAGGTGCCTGGGCCCTGAAGTCTGAGTCCTGGAGCATTTCCGCTTTTCCTTTCAGACCCTGTCCATGGCCTACCTCACTGGGATGTTGTCCAGGTAAAGGGGACCCGTGTCGGGGGGAAGGACCATAGGGAATAGATTCGGGCAGGCAGGGAGCTTGGCCTTGAGCCCTCTCCCCACACATTTTGCTGGACCGCACCCCCAGGGCCTGGCTCCATTGGGTTCGGGGGATGGAGAAGACCCAGGTGGTTCCTGTTGGGCTGTAGCTTAGAGGACCCCAGGCTTGTGATCACAGACATTCCCACCTCCAGGCAGCAGCACAAACCCCTCTCCACCCCCACTCCCACCTCTTCAAGATCCTTCTAAAGGATTTCAAGTCTAAGGTGTGGGAGAGGGCAGGGTCCAGGAGAAAGCCAGAGAAGCAGGGACAGCGAGGACCCTGGGGAAGGGGAGGAGAGGGTAGGGGCAAGACGTCAGGGATCGGGTCCTAGCCCTGCTGGAAACTGAGCCCCAGCCTCTGGCCCTGCAGTTACTACAACACCACCTCTGTGCTGCTGTGCCTCGGCATCACGGCCCTCGTCTGCCTCTCCGTCACTGTCTTCAGCTTCCAGACCAAGGTCAGCTCTGGGGCCTGTGGGCAGGGAGATGGTGTTGGGGGCTCCAAGCTTAGATCCCCAGCTGCTGAGAGATAAAGGGGTGAGCTGGACCTGGGGGGCCCACCTGGGGGAGGTGAGGGGGAGCAGCGCTGGGTCCTGGGGGGAGCACTAGCGGCACCTGCTGGAAGGGCCTCAGCGGCCGCTGACACCTGCCCTGCCCTTGCAGTTTGACTTCACCTCCTGCCAGGGCGCGCTCTTCGTACTGCTCATGACTCTCTTCTTCAGTGGACTCATCCTGGCCATCCTCCTACCCTTTCAATATGTGAGTCTGGGGGGCCCCATGGGAGGGAGGGGGGCCTGCTGACCGGAGGGCACTGTTTCCTCCCACGCCCTCCAGGGAGAGCCCGGAGCCAAAGGCTCACAGCCTGCCACCCTGTCCGGCCCCTCCTGGCACCTGCCCTGGCCTTGTTGGCAGTGTAAGCAAACCAACAAGGAGGCCTTTCTCAGCAGGCCTGGGCACCTGCCTGCTCCATGAGCCACATCCGGCTTCACCTTTCCCATCCTCCTTCTAGGGGGGAGGCGAGGCTGGAGGGGAATGTGCCACAGAGCATTTAAACGGCTGCAGGGGAGGGAGCTCTGGAGCTGCTGGGCACTACCAGACCCAGAGGGGCCCTAAGGGAGGGCCTCCTGGGGCCCTTGGGGGACCAGCCAAGCCCAGAGGGGCAGACTCTGGGCAGCCAGGCAGGTGGGGGCTGGGGCGGGTGGTCTGAGCCACCCCCCGCCCCCGCCACTGGAGCATCCATGGGGCCGGCTGAATCTCAGCTCTTTCTTTCACAAGTGCCCAGCCTGCCCTGGGAACCTAGGACTTCCCTGGGCTCAGTGACCCGTTTTTAGGTACCAAGGCCACTGCAGGTGGAAAAGGGAGCAGATGGAGGGCATCACAAGAGGGGTTTGAGGTCCCAATCCTGGGAACCCAAGAGATGAAGCTAAAAGTTACTGGACCCCTGCTGGAGTGCTCAGTGCTTACACCCGCCCCTGCTCCTCTTAGTGCTTGGGACCCAACTGCTCTTCTACCAGCTTGGCATCCGCAGTCCTCACCCCCATTTCCCCACCCATCCTGCTGAGCCCCAGCCCCCAGGGCATCGCTCCCACTCCAGGACAGCTGCATAGGTTCTGGCATTTCCTTGGCTCTTCCCAGGATCCGGTTGATGAAGGGAGGGGCCGGAGCTGGCCTGGGGCCCTCTGTGTGTCTAGGATGGTGGGGGGGAAGGGTTGTACAGGCAGGTGCCCCAGAGCTTCAAAGAACCCTTTATTGCCTTAGGTCAGTCTACCAGGATGCCTTGTGTTTTCAGGAATCTTGTGGGGACAGACCCTACAAAGGGCCCAGCTGGTGTGGTACCTCTAACTAGGCACCCTGGGGGGAGCTGAGGTTAGGAAGGAGCGCTGCTCCAGCCTCTGCAGGCAACCTTGTCAGCCACAGCTGGCAGGAATTCCAGATGGCCCCCACCCCACCCACCCTGAGTTCAAGTCTTCGTCCCCTTCCACATGAGCCCCTTACTGGCACAGGCAGAGCCTGGGAACTCCCCACAGAGGGACAGACAGACCCTGTGCAGGACAGGCAGGGAGGAGCGCCCTCTGGCCAGCCCCAGGCTGGGAAAATGGCAGGGCCCCAACAGGAAGGGCCACTCTGGTGCCACCCGAGCCTGGGGCTGTGTGTGAAGGGAGCAAGTGCTGGTCAGGTTGGGTGCTCCCCTGAGAGGTCCCCCGTGATCGCTCTTATCCTGGGGCTCCCCTACCTGCCCCGAACACACCCAGAATCAAGGATCCCTGCTGGGGTCCTGGAGTTTCTTAGGGACTGCTGGGGAGGGGTGGGGCAGGGGTGGGACCTTCCCACTGGGAAGGTCAGTCCCACAGCCACCATTCTCTGGACTGAGCAGTCCCCCCCTTCCACTGCTCTCTGCCCCATGGCCCCTCTGCTGTCCCTAAGCCCATTGCTGTCTGCCCCACAGGTGCCCTGGCTCCACGCAGTGTATGCCGTGCTGGGAGCAGGCGTGTTTACATTGGTAAGTGTGTATGGCTCCCAGGGGGCAGCCTCTCAGCCTCTGATCATCTCCCCAGGCCCTGCACCACCTCTGCCTTCCACGCAGGCAGGCTTCCCTGAACCCTTGTGAAGCAGCCAGGGCAGGGCAAGGCTCAATGCTAAGGTCAAGGAAGTCTCTCTGGTCTCCGAGGCAGACCAGCTGGAAATTAGCTGTTGCTGTCCTAGGGGTAATCCGGAGGCTTCCTTGGAGCCGAGGAGATTCCTATACCCTGCGAGAGAGATGCACTTAGATTGAGCTTGGCTTTGGCTGTTCCACCAAACTGAGAGCGCTGATGATGTTGATTGCCATTCTGATAACAATAATAGCTAATATTTATTGAGCACTTGCTCCCTCCATCTCCAAAAGCTCTCCAATTGCACTTCATCCTCACCATAACTCTGTGAAATCGGTTCTGTTGTTATCAAATTAAGATGAGGAACCTGGACCTAGCTGATGTGGCTCAGTTGGTTGGAGCATTGTCTTGTAAATGAAATGGTGGCATGTTCAATTCCCAGTCAGGGCACATGCCCAGGTGGTGGGTTCAATCCCTAGTTGGGTGAGGATAAAAAAGAAAGGGAGGAACCTGCAGCTCAGAGGTGTTAAATAACTTGTCCAAGGTCATCCGGCATTCAAGGAAGTAGTAGGGCCAGACTGGGAACTAGATGGTCTGGGTCCAGAGCCCCACTGACCGCCCAGGTGGGGAGCGGAGTGGGTGGCGGGGAGCAGATGCCCAGGGGACAGAAGGTGACCGGGGTAGACGTTTGCTGGGAGCAACCCAGCAGAGACCCTTTGCTCAGATGGGCTCTGAGCATGAATGTGATGGTGCTCCAGGATCCACCGGGGGGGGGGGGACACGGCGGGGATGGGGGTGGAACCCAAGGTAAACACCCCCTGCAGCAGGGGCAGCCACCAGACGGTCTCCTCCCTCACTGGAACGTTCAGCTCAGCTCACTCAAGCCAGAGTCCTGGGCTTAGTCACAGGTTCCGGAAGCCTGTGGGTGACAGACTGGGGAACAGAAGTGGGGGGCAATACGGGGTCGGGTCTGCGAGCAGAGGTTTTGGATTGAGATCAAGCCGGGAATAGGGGTGTGGTCAGTTGATTCATTCATTCCCACAGGTCTTTATTGAGCACCTACTATGTTCAGTGTGCTGTGCCGTGTGCCCAGGATGCCACGTCACAGCACTCAGTAAATATGTGTGGAACGAGTAAATGGCCTCCAGGCTCAGAACCTGAGGAAGGGACTAAAAAGGGATCGAGTGACCCACCAAGCCCCTTTTTTCAGAGATGAGAAAAACGCTAAAGAAGTTAAATGACTTGTCCCAGGTTTCCTGGCAGGATGACGGTGTATCGACTAAGTGTGGCCTCGGTTAAGACTAGGGTGACCGACTTATCCTTGTTTCCCTGGGACCGTCCCAGGTTCAGCACTGAAACCCCCACTTCCTGGGGGATGGCACGAACCCTGGGCAACCAGATGGCTGGTCCCCGAGGACACTAACTGCGCTCGGCTGCTGGACCAGCGCTCTGCAGACAGTGCATGCTGAGGACAAGTCCAGACCAGGAGGCCGGGGTGGGGAATCTGCAAGGAGGAAGCAAAGAGGGAGGGTGGCACTGAGGGGCTTGCGCCTGCTGGGGCCTCAGAGGGCAGCGGGGCTTTGCGGGAGACAGATGGAAGGAGAGGGGGAGTGCAGGCTGCGTGGGCGGAGGGCGAGCGCCATGCACTCGGGTGGGAGTGGGCACTCTGCTTCCTGCGGATCCGGTCTCAACAAGTGGGGAGGCTGTCTGCACACACAGGGCTGGACAGGCAGTAATCCATTCAATTTGTTTAGTGATCCCTTGTGCTATTAGAATAATAAAAACAATCCCGACCATCTGTTCCACCCTTTACCTTTTAACAAAGTACTTTCACACCTATTACCTCACTGGATTTCCAGCTCAGCCCAGGGAGAGAGGTGGCACTGGCTTGTGAGGCCTGCTCTCCACACCCGAAGCCCTGGTGCCACACGGAGTCCCACTGCCCCCCAGGGGCACACTTGGGGCAGGACCCAGGTGTCCTGCGCCCAGCCGGTGCCATTTCCAGGGCCCCGTGGTCTCTCTCGAAGAGGACAGCTCCTGTTGTCTTACTTAGAGTTGGGGGAGGTCTGGAGGCCTCTCCTGTAACTGCCCCTGCCCTGAATCATCCGTGTTGCCCTCTCCACTGGACTGTTCCCTTCTGCGTAAAACAGGCACGCACTCTCTCCCTCCCCCCCTCCCCCCACACACACTGTCCCCTACTCTTCACCCTGCTTTATTTCTCTTCACAGCACTTCTCATCCTCTGACGTACTAGACATTTTTCTTGTTTGTTTCTTGTCTCCTTCCAGCAGAATTTTAATTCCTCAGTAGCAGTGACTTTTGCTGGGTTTGCTATTGCTGCCTCCCCAGAACAGTGCCCTGCACCTAGTAGGCACCTCTGATGTTGCAAACTGAAGGGGCGAGGGGAGGCGAGGCTGGGCGCTGTCAGGGCTACAGAGAAAGGGCTTCGAGGTTGACCTGAGTGCCGCGTCAGCCTCCGGTGAGTCACCATGGGGAGGTGGAACCACCGCACCTAATTACTCGTTAGTGTCTCATTAGGACATCAACACACCCAAAGGCCCTGGTTGGGCCCATTTTTCAGGTTACATAAACAGTGGTCAGGAGCGGGTGATGGGACGCCCCACTGCCCTCAGTTCACTTGAGTCAAAGCAGGGAGGACATGCAGCAGTTCCCATGGGATAGGGGAGAGTTGAGGGGGAGTCGCTGGACTCATTCCCCTCCCTCCTCTCAATGTCAGGTGGACAGGGGCCCTCAGAGGCTCAGTCCCACAAGACCTAAGGTCGCTTGGTCTCCCCATGAACCCCCAACTCAGAAGGTCCTTGACCTCAGTCTGACCCTCTGTCGCATCAGTTCTGCTCCGTGGAATCTGTGGCTGCCTAGCTCCAACCCATCCCCAGAACCAGCTCCCAGCACCCCTGCTCTCTCCAGCTGCCCATCCTGGCCCCCCTGCCCTGCAGCTAAAAAAATTGCAGCGTACAGCACATCCCTGCCCACTCACCATCTCAGGGAGGGTGTGTGACGGAGGGGTGAAGAGAAGTGTGGAGCAGGTCCAGACCCCTGCTGAGAACCGTCCCCGCCCCCACCACCAGCCTGAGCCCCAGAAGAGATTTGAGAATCAAATGATTTTCTCTTCTAGAAATTGAAGCCCCTCCCCTGAAAGACCCTGCCATTTCTGAGGGCAGGGCCACCCAGCGGGACTAGGCTGAAACTGAGGGGTGGGAGTCCAGGCTTTTTAGGGTTGTGGTCCAGCCTTCAAGACAGGCCCGTCCTAGGAGGAAAGTACCTCAAAGGTGCCCTCCTCCCAGGCCTCACCTCAGTCTCACTTCCTGAAGTGCTAATTCTCAGGACCCTGCCCTTACAACACCCAGACCCAGAGCCCCGCTCTGCCCAGCCCTGGGGGTGGGGGACTGAGGGAGAGGGTGACTCAGAGGCCCCCTGTGGGAAGCAGGGCCCAGGAGGATCCGCCCTGGCAGGGGTAGCACAGGGAGGGGGGAGTCACTGTGCTACCCCTCATATTGGGGTGGGGTTCCCCAGAGCAGGGAGGGAGCGGGGGAGGGCGCAGGCACAGTCTGAAGGCTGAAGGGCCGGGGAGGGAAGCCTGTAGAGCTGGAGGAAGCTCCCCGGTGGCCACGCACATTCCACCCAAACCCCGTTCAAGGTCTAGCTCATGTTCTGCGACCTTGGGCAAATTACTCGGCCTCTCTGTGCCTCAGTTGCCTCACCTTCAACACGGGGCAGACAGTAACTCTCTCACAATGCGGTGGTAATGATTACATCAGATAATATGCAAAGAGAAAAAAGGAGTCAGCCCAGCACCCGAACACGGTGGTTTCTCAGCTGCTGTGGCAGCTTGTACCCTCATTGTATACGTTAACTTTGTGATTCAGCTCCGGACTTTGGAGCTCAGGGCTCAGATCCAGTCTCTGCCACGTTTTAGCTATGTGGACTGATGCAATCATGTGACCTCTCTGTGCTTCTATTTTTCAATCTTTAAAATGAAGATAATAATAGTACCCAGCTCACAGGTTGCTGGAGACTTAAAGTGAATTCATATGTGCAGTACTTAGAAAGTGCCCAGCACATCATCAGTGATCAGTAAGTGTTACCTGTTAGTAGTAAGCAGTTGCCTGAGGTCAGAGGCAAGATTTGCCCCCAGTCTGTGTGACTCCCAGTCTGTGTTTATTCTTGAGCACCGGGTATACCGATGCCTTTCTGCAGAGAGCCCCCCACGGGCTCTCCCACGCGCTTTGTACACTGCTGCCCTCTGGTCTCGGGCCAGGCTCTCTGGCTCACGGGCCCGTCCCGGCCTGCTTCCACAGCAGTCCATCTGGAGCTGCACACCAGGACCCCAGGCTACATGCAGCTGTCGGTGTCAGACTGTTGACGCTCAGGCCAGTGAAGACAGGAGAAATATGTTCCGTTGGCCCCAGGCAGCTAACTCGTGGGCTCCAGGCCTCCACTGAGCACCCTCCTCCCTCACCCTGACCAGGCCTATGCCTGGTTGTTTCTTTCTGAAGGATCCCCAAAGTCCAGGTTCTCTCTCTGGCTCAGAAAGCGGTGGCCTGATCAGGTGGGCTGAGACCCTGCGCCCCCAGGAAGCCGGCAGTGCTCTTGGCCTTGAGCTCCGTCTGCACGGTCCCCCCACCTCTCCTATCCTCGCACACACTTGTGCACACGCCTGCGCAAGCACCATGCCCTGAAGCAGTGTCACGTGGCGGAAAGAGAGTGGGCTTTGGGGTCAGAAGACCCCAGCTGTCCTCTGGGCTGGGGGAAGTGGGCAGGTCACCGAGACCGTCAGTGCCTCAGGCTCCTCAGCCGCCTGACGAACGTGACAGCGCCCCTGTCACAGAGGTTGATGGCGGGTGTTCACAGACTCTTCTTGTGTGTGTAACTTTAACCTTTAAAAAAAATCTTCATTTGAGGACATGCTTATTGATTTTAGAGAGAGGGGAAGGGAAGAAGGGAAAGAAACATCGATGTGAGGAAGAAATATTGATCGGTTCCTTCGCATGTGCAGCCCGACCGGGGACCGAACCATAACCTAGGCGTGTGCCCTGACCTGCAATTGAACCCACGACCTTTTGGTTTATGGGAGGACTCTCCAACAGAGTCACACTGGCCAGGCAGGGCTAACTCTTTTTTTTAAATCTTCTAATTACATGTGAATACATGCATTCATATGTTTCACTTTTTTAATCGTAAATAATATAGGTAAAGCAAACATTTTTTTAACCATGTCCCTCCCTACCTTCCCCAGTGGTGACAGCTCCCCAGACCTTTCTCTCTGTGTTTTATAGATATTTGTGATATCAGCTCCTATGAGATTTGTCTATTAACATAAAAGGGGGTCATCTGATATAGGTGTTTTCACAACTTGCTTTTTTCTTGTAATAGCATGTCAGAAACGTTTCTGCCTCGGAACTGCTGCCCGCAGTCTGCTCCACCGGGCCCTCGTTGGTGGAGCTCGGGGTGGTTTGCAGTGGTCCGCTCGTAGCCCCGCTGCTGTGGCCGACGGCCTCTTGTGCTCCGCGCGCTCCTGCTGGCATTTCTGTAGGGTGGACGCGGTCCACGTGTTATCCTTTTTATGTTGATCCAGCACATTGCAAGCCCAGCTTTTTGTATTCACTGCCTGTTTGTTGGTGGCTCTGAGCTGGCCTTTCCCTGGCATGGCTCCCTCTCAGCCTCATCTCTGGGAGAATAGGGGCCTAAGCCTAAGTCCTGGGCACAGCAGGGTCAGCCCAAGCATGCAGCCGGGGGCCCTGGCCAGGTTCAGCACCAGCACGTAGGGCGAACCAGGAGAGTTTGCTTTGGCTCCTCTGCCTCTGTGCATGCCCCTCCCTCCCTGCAAACCCACTGCCCCCCTCTCCCCGTCTCCATCAGGATGAGACAGACAATCTGGTTCCCACACTAGATAAAGGAGTATCAGCAAGTGAGCCGCTCCAAGACTCCTCTCCTCAGACGTGAAATAGTGGCAATGTCATCTACCTCCAAGGGCACACTGGGCGGGTGAGATGAGACAAAGGAACAGCGTGTACAAGGACTTTGTGGACATCAGTTAACAGCATTCTAGTCCCGCTCCTGACTCTGTCCCTTTCCCACCAGCCCCTCCCGCAGGGTCTCCTCTGCAGCTGGCTGCCCTCTCAGGTACCTGCCATCCTCATAGGTGTTAGTGGTTAACGCAGTTTTTAGCTGTCAGCCAAGATCTTAGCTGCCAAATAAGGTGCTAACTGTAACCAAGGTATCTGCTCCCAACCAAGTCACTAGTTAGTAATGCTCACCATCACCCAGGGGGATTATTAGTAGGTAACTTTCCCCTGGAGTGAATGCTTGCTCATAATGTAATCTCTGATGATGTCTTTTGCTCTCGCTAGGCTGTTAGTTCTCTGAAGGCCAGTTCCCTAGAACATAGTAGATGCTCAATAAATATTGCTGGGACTAAATGAACGAAAAGCCTTCCTTCGACTCACAGGCATGAGGCTGCAGTGATTGGCGGTGCCAGGCAGTGGGACTGAATTTGGGGCAGGCCGTCCCAGAGAGCACCTCATAGATAAGCATCCGTGGCCATCGGCCAAGGGCAGGAGCAATCATTTCATTTCTCTTTCCTTCAAGAGAAGAGCCAGCTGGCTGCTCTAAGAGGTCTCCTGGGTGAGTGCTCCTTGGAGGAGCCACCCCCAAACCTGGTCAGGGCCCAGCCTTCTAAGTTGAGAGATTTATTTTCATAAGCTCCCCCGGGGGTGGCCAGGCTCCGGGCAATCAACCAAGCAAGCTGCTGATTGATAAGCCAGATCAGCAATTTATTAACTTCTGCTGGCAGCTGTGACTGCTCAGCCGCCTGTAGCACTGGAGTTGGCCCCTCTCCTTGCTCGTTCTCTCTACAGAGGAAAGTTTATTTGGGAATCCGAGTCAAGTTCAGAAGGAGCATTGAGCGGAGTGAGATGACCTAAAGAATAATAATAGTTGATGCCACACACACTGTTGTGTTTTTACCGTCAGAACCAAACCCTGGTGCAGCCGCTACTACTGTCCCACTCTGTAGATGAGAAAGGACCCTGAGGTCAAGTGGGTGACGGCTGCTGAGGGATGGGACCCGCACTCAAAGCCGGGAGCTCCAGCTCCAGCCCCTTCTCAGTGCCTCTGAGTTCAGAGAGGCTGCCCTCGCCGGCATGGGGCCCCTCAGCCCTGGTCGTGGCTCCCCACTTCCCCGCTATTGAGACCACACAGCTTCCGCAGTAACATTTCCGTCTCCTCCATGAGCGGGAGACACTGGAGGCGCAGCGGCAGCGTAGGCTTGTTCTCAGGAGGACGCCTCTCCTTCTGCGGACGAGAACAGTAAAACCACGCTCACCGCCACCATTCATGAAGTGTTTACCATGTGTCAGGCCCCATGCCAGGCGCTTTGCCTGCATTGTCTCCAGGCCACAACCACCTCAGGAAGAAAGATTCATCTCCCTTCTACGGATGCAGACTCACAGGCTCAGAGACTGAATGTTTTTTTGCCCAGGGCCCCATCGCTAGTGAGTAGCAGAGCTAAAACTGGAGTCCCGTCAGTCTGACGTTCAAGCCCATGTTCATAATCAGCTCCCAGCTCCCCACCTTTGAGGGTGGCATGCCTCGATGTCCCACTTGCTGGAGCTGCTCCCTGTTAGAGCCTCTGCCCCCTCTGTACGGGGGGCACGGAGGCAGGGATCCTCGCAGGCCTCCACAGGGCTGCACCCAAGGCAGCTCCAAGGAGCCTGGGTCCTGGAGTCAGGGAGTCAGGGTCTGGGGTGAAGGAAAGGGATCTGGGCCCCACCTTTCAGGGAAAAGTGCAAGATCACAGGCAGGCTCCAGGCCCCTCCCCCCGTCTCCTCATCCCCTGCCCCTGCCACACTGAAGTCCTCACTCATCACACCACGCCTTCACAGTCTCACAAACTCCTACTCGTCCTTCAAAACCAGGCTAAGTGTCACCTCTCCAGGGACACCCTTCTTCTACCCAATGAGCCCAAATCACGACAGGGACTGGGTCCCATTGCAGTCATCTCAGCGGTGAGCCCCGGGGGCAGGTGTTTGTGTTCCCCATTGTTTCTGCAGCTCTCAGCCAGTCGCTGGCGCCAGCCCTTGCCTGTGCATATTTATGGGACAATGAATGTCTCAGAGGGCCCAGGAGCACGGTCCATGCACAAGTGACGGAAGAGCCAGGCACAGCCCAGTTAACAAGAATGTGAAGCCATTTAAAGAATTCCGAGCCCATGTGGATCAGTGGTTCATAACCTTTGAGACACTGGTGAAACTTTTTGGCTTCTTTTTTCCAGAAAAGTATGCCATGCCTGTCAAATTTCATGTGCTACTTCTTGGGGGGTTCTACTCCCTATGCTGGGACCCCAAAGAAAAGCTCTGTGGAGGAGTCACCGTAGACAGCGGGAAGGCCCAGTAGGGAGCAGCAGGGTGACCAAGAGGAGCCGTCTCTGAGGGAATACCTGTTCATAGTCCAGGAAACCCAGAGGGTGTGCTGGGGAGAGCCTGCTTCCTGGCGGGAGGCACACCCCCCCGGCGCTGTCTATAAGCAGCAGAGCAGAATGGTTAAACGTGGGGGGCTCAGGAGCAGACCCTGGTTCTACTCCTGGCTTTGCCATTTCCCTGTTGTGTAACTTTAGGTACATACTTACCATCTCTGGGTTGTGGTTTTCTTTGGGAATAATAGAATCCCTACTCAGTAGGCATATTATTCGAACCAAATAGGCTAATATCTGTAAAGTACCTAATAAGTGTCCATTCCCTGCTTGCTATTACTTGAAGCATTTGTTTATCTTCTAAGAACAAGCCCTGAGGGAATGACAAAAAGACTAGGACTGAGCTTGAAGAGCCTTTCAGGTCCCCTCCTCCAGGAAGCCTTCCCTGACTCCCTACCACACTCACACAGGGTCAGGTTCCTTGTGATCAGAACTCTGTGCTTTGGTTACATTCAACTAACAGTTACTTCCCACTAGACTTGAAAGTCCATGAAGTAAGGCTTCTTAATCTGTTTTGTTCTTTGCTGTATCTGTGTGTCTTGCACATAGTAGATGCTCAGTTAATAGGTGTCAAATTAGGGACCGAAAGTGCTGGGAAAGTTCCAGATTCTGGGCTGTCACAGAAGGGCCACTGAGCAGTCAGGCAGACAGCAGGTGATGGTAACCAAATCAGGGGTGGGCCTGGGTGGGGACACTGGGCCTCCTGACCGGTGCCGCAGTGGCCGAACCACCTGATTTCTCCCGTCTCCTCTCCTTCCCTCAGTTCCTGGCATTTGACACTCAGTTGCTGATGGGAAACCGACGCCACTCACTGAGCCCCGAGGAGTATATTTTTGGAGCCCTCAGCATCTACCTAGACATCATCTACATCTTCACCTTCTTCCTGCAGCTTTTCGGCACCAACCGGGAATGAGGAGCCCTCCCCACCGCCCTTTCCTTCAGAGAATGCTCCCCTGCTGGCCCTCTGACCCTGCCGTGCTTCCGTAGCCCAGATATAAACCAGCCGCCAGCCCAGCCCGTGGCCAGCCTGCTCACTCCCTCAGTCTGTCCCTCCTCCTCACCCTCCGTAGCTGTGTCCGTGCCATCAGGGGCCCCGTGGAACTGAGGTCACGCTGTGCCCTGCGCCACCCCTTCCCCCAGTTACACCTCCCAGACTGGGACAGTCGAGGCAGAGGTTCCTTTGGGTTTGAAGACCCAAGGGACGAGTGGGAAGACACCAGCAGGATTTTAGATGTGGGAAGGGGGACCCTAGGAAGCCTGGCTGAGGCCTGCCCCCCATCAAGATTCCTCCTGAGGCTGCCACAGCTGTGTGACCCTGGGGCACACTGTCCTGTGTCCAGTCCATCCTCCTCTCTTTCCTTCCAGCTCAGGCTTTGTAAGGGAGGGGGTGGGGAATGGCGGGGAGATAAGGGGAGGGTGCTCTGCAGGGCGGCTGCCCCAGGCTGGCCTCTGCTCTCGGCTCTGGGACTAACGGCTTGTTCTAGGGACTGGAACCCCACGCCCAGGAGCACCCAGAAGGACATAGGAAGGCAGTGCCACCTACCCTCCTTGATCATGACAGAGCATTGTTGAGTCAGGAGGCCCTGCTCTTAAGGAGGGGCCTTCCCTGGGGCTCCAGGGGAGTGAGCACAGGTCAGACAGCTGGGAGGTCTGGGCTCTGCAGTGCCACCAGTCACCCCGGCTGCATCCCCTGGTCAGGCCTGGGGGTGGCAGGACTGAGCCTATTCCTCTCACCCTCTTTTCTGGCCCCATGGGATGCTCCCACAGGCCTGAGGCTGGGTGCTGGCGCCCTGGAAGACTGGATGTTCTGAGGGAGGGGGGTTATTCTAACTGAGCCAGCCCCAACTGGAGGGACTGTCCTACCTGTCCCTGTCCCCCACTCTTCCCCAAGGCCTTTCTGCACATCTTATTTCTTCAGCCCTCCCCCATCTAATGCCATTTGCTGGCTTACCCCTAGCCAGGCCTCCTGAGGCCTCAGTTGGCTGTGCCTAGGCCCCATCCCCTAGCTTCTCTGGCCACTCAGCACAGAGTCCCTAAGCCCCCCTTCATCCCTTATCTCCTCATCTCTCTAATTTGGAAGCTATCCAGCCAGAGCCAGTCCCTTCTGCTGGCCCTTGTGATGAGGCCAGGTCTCCTTATCAGCCTCTAGGCAGCTGAGATCTCAGGCAGGGGGCCCCCTGCTTGGGGGAAGCCTGCAGCCAGCACAGCCAGCTCCCGGCCAGTGGAAAGTTACTGGGTGGGGTCAGGGAGGTTCAGAGCAGATTCCTCTGTGTCCAGGTACCTCTCCTACTCCTATGTTGGGGGACCTGCTTACACTAGGAGATGGTGACTAGGTATGCTGTCTGTCTGTGTTCCCAACTCCTCCCTCCCCAACCTTCCTATTTTCAACTTTCAAGAACACTCACACAGGCTCTGGCCTGATAGCTCAGTGGGTTAGAGAGTCGTCCCGATATGCCCGGATTGCCGGTTTGATCCCCAGTCAGGGCGCATACAAGAATCAACCAGTGAATGCATCAATAAGTGGAACTCCAAATCAAGGTTTCTCTCTGACTCTCTCTCTTCCTTTTTCTCTCTCTCAAATAAATAAAATAAAACAAAAAGAAATATTGCGGAAGGATTTAAAGTTTCCATCTTGGGTATTTGAAGAGATGGGCGGAGAAGTGGTAGTGGTGTTTGTGTGAGAGGTAAAGGTAATTGTGAGCGTGGGTGCAATGCCTACTGTGTGTCATCCTCAATGAGTTCCTTTCAGCAACCCAACGGCGGTGCTCGCACATCGCCTGGCAGAGGTGGTCAGGGGGCTTGGTAATGGGCCCGAGGTAGCATAGCTAACAGACCGGGTGGGCCGGGAATGAGGCTGCTCGGTGGTCAGGCTCTGGTGTCCCTAGGGATTTGTTGTCCTTGGTGACGGCCTGGCCCCTCCTTCTCCCTTCCCACTACCAGGGTTGTGCTCCATGTTTTCTGCCTTCTGGATACAGGCTGGGAAGCTGGGTTCTGGTATCTGATTCCCAGGCTCACTGCCTCATGGTATCAGGTGAGTGTTTCTTGCTATGTGATTCACTTTTGCTATCAGCAAGAAGGGAGACCCTGCACTGGAGAGGCACCAGACCGCTGAATTCCACTAACTCCCCTCCTCCGGTTGCCCCTTTGGCTCTTCTCCCATTTCATCTTTTGGCCCAGTGCTGGGGAGTCAGGACTCCTCCCCTTTGCCCTGCCACTCTCAGCCTAGGCCTTGGTCTGGCTCCTCAGAATCTCTCCCCCAAGCCCTCCTCTTCCTAGGACAGTTTATGCAGGAACCGGGACTTGAGAAGCTTATCTGAAGCCGGCTCCAAAAGCTGGGAGGTGGGTGTGAGTGAGGAGGCAAGTCCTTGGCAATAAACCTCATGAAGAGGCAACTCCAGACCACCAGGAAGCTGAGTTTGCTGTGGAGTCTCCCACTCTGGGTGCTTAGAGGGGCCCAGGCACACTGATCTGGCAGCAGAGCCAGGCTGAGGCCCTGGCATTCTGCCTGCATCCAGACCCCGAGGGGCCCCAGGAACACCTGGATGGGTCTTGGAAGGAGGAAGGGCAGGGGAACAGGAATGTAAGATTATGAGAAACCTGAGAAACCTAAAATGGGCAGGTGTCACAAGCTGCAGAGAAGGAGGGGACCTACCGGGCCCCTCACATTTTTGGCAGGGGCGGGACTGGGCCCAGGAAGAGGCAGGTTGGATTTCATAAGGCTAGAGGCAGCCAGGAATCCGACCATCTGTGATGTGAGGTCAGAGGTCTCCAGCAGAAGGGAGGGCAGGCCAAGGGATCCCGTCCTGGAGATTGCAGATTGGGGACCAAGGAGGCGCACGCAAGTCTGCTTCTGTACCGCCTGGGGAAGCCCCGGGGATGGTTCTTCTATCCTCCGCTTGCCGTTCTTCCCAGGGGAGTCGGGATCAGCCTGATACCCTCCAAAAGGCTCCGCCTTTCCCTCTTGGGCCCCACCTGGAAACCAGTCCCTGGTCCCTCCCGTCTCCCGCGGAGCTGGGATTTCACCAGCACTTTGCTGCCCCCTGGTGGCTGCCGGAGGAAAAGCAGGGCCTGGTGCTGCTGTGGAGAAACGAGAGACCCCGGGCAGGGGTTGTGGGCAGGCTTCCATTACCCGCTCTTCGCCGACCTCTCCAGGCCTCTCATCAGCATCCAGCTTTCCCTTTAGTCCAACCATTGCCGCATCTCTGGACCCCGTTTACCTGTGCGCCACCCCACTCTGGAGCTTCCTCCCAGTGCCTGAGGACAGACACACATCCTCAGGCACCAGTGCTGTCCTTCCCGGTCCCCGCCTTTCCTGCCTGTAACTGACGACGGAGGTAAGGATACAAGTAAATTTGACACCTGAGCTGCTTCCTTTGCCCGCCTTTTGCTTGTCGCCTCAGATGGCTCAGGGAGTCTGTGTGGGGTTTAACTGGATTCCACGTGAAAGACACGCCAGAGCTGTACTCCCAACGTAGTTAAGTGTGAATTAACTCTCCACATTTAGGTAGAAGAGGGACACTGGTCCTCCTCTGCAGAGGCTCTTGGGGCCCCAGAGCTGGAAGGAATCCCCCGGAGCTGGCGTTTGTCACAGCCGCATGAGAGGCCCCTCCTGCTGGGGCCCTTCCAGGGGAGCCTGCTTCTCTGTGGGCAGTTTCTTAGAAGATTATTATTTTGACCCAAAATTTGTTCCTCTAGAAGGAAAGCCTTGTTGTACCTGGAAGGTTTCCCCAAGAGTTCAGAACTGCTCTGTCCCGTGTCTGCTGTGGGCCTCTCATTTCCTCCCTCTGAACCAGACCCCTGTCGTAGCTGTCCTCTGCCTGTCCCACGGGTGTGCGCCGTGCGTGTGTGCGCCGTGCGTGCTCGTGTGTGGCGGAGTGTAAGTCAATCACTTGTCTTTCTCATTCTGGAGTATTTTTTTAATTAAATTTTATTTAGTTACTTTTCAAGTACATTTTTTTTAATCTATTTCTCCCATCCCACCCCACCCCCCCGCCCGGTCTCCCCCCTCCCTCCCATTCCCCCCAGTCCTCATCTCTGTGTCTTTCATACTTGTTCCTCAAAATCCCTCCCCCTTTTTCCCCTTAAGTTCCCTTCCCTCTCCCCTCTGGTCGCTGCCCACTTGTTCTCTATTTCAGTGTCTTTGTTTTTATTCTGTTTGCTTGTTTGTTTTATTCTTTAGCTTCCTGTCAAAGGCGAGATCATATGGTATCATTCTGGAGTATTTAGATTGAGAATAGCCAAGGACTCCAATCTGAAGAGCCTCAAATGCAGACTTGGTTTAGGTGTAATTCTGGACCTGGAGCCTGAGCCCGATGCTGTAATGGGATGAGCCTTTGGGGGTCTTCGGAAGGGGTTGAATAGATTTTGCATGTGGCCAGAGTGTCGAATGAAGCAGTTTAAAACAATGGCCATGAGTTCTTCCACGAGTGGAATGTGACGAAAGTGCCATGGTGCGAGTTCCACGAGTTCTCTGGCCCAGCAATTGCAGCAAGCGCTGGTTGACCTGGTTGACCCTGGTTGACCCTGACTGGAGGGTTCTTCCTGGTTCAGGAGCTCTCCCCTGGACCGACAGCCATGGTGCTGGGGTGAGATGCAGCAACTGACGGGACCTAGGTCAGATATGCGCCCTGGAGCCACATTCACTGATGAGAATGAGGGAGGTGAGGGATACTCCTCCAAAGGAAAATCAGAGTATGGCTCCCAGCAGAAAGTGGAATGTCCAGCAGGCAAAAACAACACGTGTCTACCACCGTAAGACAGGACCCCGTCCTCAAGGAACTCAGCACAGCGGTGCAGAGATGACATGGAAGGAATTATAATGTGATAAGTGCCATGCTAGTGTATAGTTAGATGGCGGTTAAAGAAAAGGCTTCTCGGAGAGGCCTTTGAGCTGGGTCTTAAAGGATGAGCAAATTTTGGTCACACAGACAAGGGAGAAGAGGGCCCTTCAGACGAGGGGAACAGCTTGAACGAAGGCCTGGAGTACGGGGTGTTGTGGTGTGTGAGGCCTGGAGTACGGGGCGCTGTGGTGTGTGAGGGCTGGTACCCGGGGAGGTGGAAATGGATTCTCCGGGCAGCGAGCACGTGGAAGATGATTAAGCAGAGGAGTGACAAGATTAGATCTGTGTTTGGGAAACAACTGTGGGAGACAGTTTGGCAATAGTATCAAGTGACTTTTTGAAGCAGACACTGCTTGGCCCAGAACAGATACTAGATACTTATCCTAAGTGAATAATTGGACAAATGCCAAAAGAATACAAGGATATCCATTGAAGTCGTGCTCATGAGAATGACATTTTGGAAACATAAGTGTTACTATTTATAAACATCAATATTAAACAATAAGGGACTGTTTAACAAATTGTGATAATGCTTATTCCATGAAATACTAAGCTGTCATTAAAAATTATGCTATGGGTAAATATTTATATAGCATCATAATATTGCATAATTGTAAATCAAAAAGCAAATCAGAAAGTATTACACAGAGTATAATCACATTTTTTAATTTTTTAAAAGTATTTTATGCCCTGGCTGGTGTGGCTCAGTGGATTGAACGTCAGCCCATGAACCAAAGGCTCACCAAGCTGGATTCCCAGTCAGGACACAGCCAGCGTTGCAGGCCAGGTCCCAACAGGGGACGCACAAGAGTCAACCACACGTTGATGTTTCTCTCCCTCTCCCCTTCCCCTCTATAAATAAATAAAGTCTTAAAAAAAAAAGTCAGTCGGAGGAAAAATCAGAAAAGATTAAAAACAAAACAGGAGAGGCCTGACTGGCCTGACTGGTATGGCTCAGTCGGCTGGGCGTTGTCTCACAAAGCAAAAGGTCATGGGGTTGATTTCCGGTCAGGGCACAGATCTAGGTTACAGCTCGGTCCCTGGTCAAGGGCGAGTACAAGAAGCAACCAACCAAAGTTTCTCTCCTGTTCCTTCTCCCTCTCTTCCCCTCTCTCTAGAGAAAATCTTATTTAAAAAATTAGGAGATGGAAGTTGGAAATTAAGGGTTTGCAGACACACACTCACATTCTTCTCTTCACCCCAACCCCTGGGTCCTTCTGATGTGGTGAACCCATAAGTGCAGATTGATCAATATTCAATGTTTACATTATTAAGACTGTAAATTCTGTTGACCACTAAGCTATGTCATATACAGTGGTTGCTTTTCCTTTCTTGCACAAGTTTGCTTTTCTGGAGGTCAATCGCTGTTGTTAGTTGTTTGTTCATTTGCTTCATTTTTCTGTGTTTTTACTAATAACTTTTTTCTTAGCCCTCCTCTAAGTGGGTAAATATCCTCTCAATATACTTAAGTACATTAGATGTTCTATCAATTTCATCATGTTGGCACCATCTTCCCAGGATCTCCTGCCTTCTCTCACCTGTGCTTTTCACTCTAAAGATCTGCTGGCGGCTACTGTCCAGGAATCTTCCAGTGTCTCCTGGGACTCCCTCACACTGGCCTCTGTTGTAAACCTGCATTCTGGATTCCAGCAACTTCACTTTTTTGGTTTTCCACCTCATTTTGGTGGAAAGTGCTTTCCAGAAAGAGTTCAGGGGAGATAATGTTTTGGGCTTCTTGCATGTCTGAAAAAAT